TGTGAAAAGCCATCTGCATATTGTTGCCGCGAACGGCGTGAACGGAGGGGGGTCAACCAGGCAACACATGAGCGTCAAAATCGGGAGCAAAAGCCCAGGACGCTGTGACGTGGGCCTATGCCAAGCCGCCACATCACGGCGTGCGCGCAAGTTGCCATGGAAACTGCCGCGCGGCGCCCATTTTTGTCGCTCATGTGTAAAGCACGGAACACATGTACGACGAAACCGTCCGATCCGACGCGCGGACTGCCGGAATGACCTTGGAGGGCGAGGGTTTTCGTAGCACCGCTGAGCGTTAAAAATTCTCGCCTCCGACCGTCGTATTGGCTGATCGGACGTCGGATCGGACGGTTTCGTCGAACATGTGTTTCGCGCTTTACACGCGCCCCAGTGATACACCTGCCGTCCCCCACTGCGCGGCGCTAAAATTGGCGGAAGGGAACGTCGCCGGCAACCTTCGGTTGCTAGGTGTTCGATCACGGCGTCGCTTCCTAAAACCAGCCAATCCAGTGCGGTCTCCGTTGCTGTGCGTCATATTGCCAAGCCTGTCGAAATATGCACCCCACCGCCATCTGTTGGCATTCGCAGAAGGTGCTCCCTAGCCAGTTTCCGCCAAGGAGACAAGGAGGATGTCCTCCTTGGTTTCCGTAGAGCACTATATAGCTCCTTCGGAGCAGAGTAGCGCAATCTAGAACGCCGCCTCTCGGCGACTAGCGGCGAACGCCCGGAGGTTCCACCTGTGCTCAGAAATGCATGGAGAACGTGGGAAAATCGTTGTTTCTTCAGTATTGTGGGGTTGTACGGAATGGCAATTGTTTTTGACATAATAATGAAATATTTTAGAATAATTTGCGCTAAGTTTTGTGCCCCGCAAGGACGTGACGTTTTCTTAAAAATTGCCTGAGCGGCATCATGCAGCAGACGACACGGCGACGTCACACCATTCACGTGACCCGCTCCGGCCAACCCGAAAGGCCCATCTCCGCTGCGAGCAAAAATCGTCTGCTTCAAACGCCATTGCCTTGGAAATTGCCTTCTCAAAATTTGCACATGCATCCGATATTATTAAAACTTTGATAAATGGTTTAGTGCTTTACTAACTTCACGACAGACTAGTTTTGAAAAGTGTGAACTCGCCGTTCATTTTTTAATCAGCCGTGTTGTGTCGATCTCCATGTATTCTCCCATAGGGCAGGCCACCTCCTGGAACCCTGAGTACCACGTGACTCGCGCCGAGCCGCTCTGTCGGCCATGTTGTCGGCAAAACACGGGGTTCAAAGGATTGCGCTACTCTGCTCCGTAGGAGCTATATAGTGCTCTAGGTTTCCGCAGCCAGCGGGGCTGTGGCGCCATCCCGTGGCCATCTTGTAAACTTTGAATAGGTGTGAACTTCGCGCGCGTCGGTCTCGGAGGCCATGACGTGTGCGTGGCCTTCGAGATTTTTCATGCGCTCTGCTGCGGCCTGTCCAAACGCTCGGCTGCCCAGCAGAAAATGCGAGCCAAGGGGGTATCGGTGGCCGAGTGGGCCGCTAGCGCACACCAACCCGGAGTACGTGGAGCAAAAGCCCGCGCTGCGGAACTCAATGTTCATTCTAAACCCCGGCCCGTTTCGAGCTGGATGAGCATCGTACCGGCGTGCGGTCGTGTATGACAAGTCGCCCGTTGGGCAGACCAACTCACACAAAGAAACAAAGGGGGAAAAAAAGGAGATCCGAGACAGCTTTTAGATCCCTGCAATGCTTACGGGACGTCTTTTTTTTTTTTTTTTTGCACCACATTAGGACGTTGTCACGTGTTAATTACCGTCCTTTTGACCTGACAGATAAGGCCCATTCACACTCTTGCGACCGAGTACGACTGAGAGAGACGAGATCTCTTACAACTTCTTAAATGTTTCTAAAATGAGGGGACACACTGACATTGTGGCGCCATCTATGCGGTGACCCTAGAACTGCATTTCACAAAAGCGAAGGTTTTGCGGGATTTCCGAGGTCAAATGTGCGTAATACCCATAGAAAGGTTCGTTTATAACATTGACAAAAGTTTTTCGAGCCAAAAAAGAAAGGATATTGCGCGAGAAATAAAAAAAAAAATATGCCGGACCGCCGAGTTTACACTGCTTCCCAATAGCTGGCGCCAGTGTGTTCTCTGGTTTAAGAAGTTTTAAGGAACCCAGGTTTAAGAGGTCGCAAGCAGTCGCAAGAGTGTGAACGGGCCTATACAGTTCATGTCTGACAGGGTATTTATGCTCGCCGAGGTTTTTAGTTGTACGTGTCATATGAGAGCTCAACTACCCAGAACAGAATTTGCGGCTCGAAATTCGGTTTCTTTCCGCCCGAAAACCGCCGATCAAGAACTGGCCGGTTCGAGTCTCGCTCACTCTCTTTTTCGAGGTCACGGGCCGTTTTCTAAGGTATCGATGCGACCACCAAATTTAATCAAAGTCGTGGGTCACTGAAGGCACATACTCAATATTAAAAATAGAAAAAAATATGAAACCCATTTTTTGTGGCTTCTAAAAAGCTGTAAATACGTTGATTGAAAAAAAAAAAGTTCCACAGACAACCGGAAGCATTCTGTGCGTTCGTCGTTTCGCGTATCGTGGGACTCTCGGGGACGGCGACGGCAGCGGACGACGGGCGTGGGACCTCTATTTCAGAACTGTCGTTCGCGATACCGGCGAATTCTGTCTACCTTTAAAAGAGAAATTTGGGACTGATCAAAAGAATTGGTATTCATCCCGTACGACACGCCCGGCCACCAAGCCGATTTGCACGAAGACGTCGCCGAGCCGTCGCTCCCTTCTCGTGGCTGAAGACATCGCTCGCGCAAACGTCAAGCACGACGTGTCTACTTCGAGTTGAATATGCACGCGTACGATTTCTTTACTAGGTGCGAATGTCCCCAAGGCGTGGTGCTTCCAGACTTCGACCCGGGAGTGCTTTTGCTTGAGAAAAATCGACAGCAAACTTTCCAACTTCCAGTTTACCCGCTGAATTATTACTAAGGAAAGAGATCCGCCGAAAGACGAGTGCCCCAGTAGCTCAGTGGGAAAGACGTCTGTTCACACGCGGTAGGACCGGGTTCGATCCCCCGTGAAACTTTATTTTTTTTTTTTTCAAACATTTCCCAATGTTTACATATACGAGAAAAGAGTCAAAGTACAGGCTAGCTGGTGGAAGTCAACCATTTCGTCGTTTACCCTGAGACTGGGGGGTTTTTCGAAGAGAAGAAGTAGCAGAAAAACAGACAGGTTGAGACCTGTCTGTTTTTCTGCTACTTCTTCTCTTCGAAAAACCCCCCAGTCTCAGGGTAAACGACGAAATGGTTTACATATCTTCTTTTTTTTTTTTTTTACAATCATCACTGAAGAAACAAACAAAAAAATAACAAACAAATGTTGCGGACGATACTTCGCTGAATTAAATGGTATGTGATTTCCTTTTTGACACCTGCGAACTCAATGTAATCACTTTCCACAAAATGCAAGGAGCATATAAATCAGGTAGCGTCCGCTTTCCGAGGTGCCCGTATATGTTCTACAGGAATTGCAGCCAGCCAATGGCCCCGATTCCGTTGATCTTTCGGAAACTCTGTCGCACAATGCCACTTTTTTTCGGACGCAGGACGTGTGAGGCAGCTCTTCACGCAACATCTTGGGTGTATTCTTTTCGGAGCCGATCGTGGAAATTCACCACGGGCAAGCACTACTCATCTCCAACTCCTCAATGTACAAAACAACTCATCTTGGAGTACAGAACAACGAGCGGAACAAACATAACTGCAAAAGAATCGCCCGGCGAGCAGTTCCCGCACGCCGCATGTCGTGTCGTCTGCTACGGAGAGAAAAAAAAAAAAACAAAAAAAACGCACGGTTGGGTGTAGCCACGTGACTTCCGCCACTCACTCTCTTCTCTCCACTCCTCCGACCTCCGTCGGGTTCCGGTTTCGGTTTCAAGCAGTTGCGTCTTTCGGCTTTATTAAAAAAATACGCTACTCTGTTGCAAAATATTAATTGAGTAGTCCTCCGACACCAAAATGAAGCCCCTGGCAAAAAATGAAAAAAAAATTTTGGGGGGTGTCAGTGTCCCTTTAAGAAATTTTCGGACCTTCGTCAAATTACATTGTTCGCCACCGCACCGACAACACGTGTCCACGAAAGCCGCCAGAGATGCAGAGAGGCGCAAAGCGACCTGTTCCGGCTGGTTCCCGGTTTTACCGCTTGGTGGCGTCCGTTTTGCTGGAGTCGGAAATATAATAAAGTAAAATTTCGGGGATATTCTGACACCTGAACACCCCCCCTGGCGACGCGCCTGGCGTGAGGGCCGCGAGGGTGGTGAGTGCCTGAGGGCGGTGAGTGCTTGAGGGACGCGAGTGCGTGAGGGCCATGAATGCATGAGGGGCGTGAGAGGTACGAGTGTGTGAGGGCTGTAAGTGCCTGAGGGCCACGAGTGCGTGACGGCGGTGAGTGAGTGAGTGGTGTGAGGCTCAGTGAGGGTGAGTGAAGGGCTGAAGGGGAGTGTGACTATGAGGATGAGGGTGAGTGATGGGCTTATGTGAGTGTGGCTGCAAGGGTGAGTGAGGGCGACCTAAAATGCCAACCTCCGCAGCCAGCACACGAAAGAATCTCGGAGGCTATGACGTGTCCTCCAAACCGGTCCAAGGTCAGCGCACGTACCAATGCCTAAAACACGGGAGAAACTTGTCCCGGCAAGTACCTACTAGTTGGGAGGGTTTCTCGATGCGGCAAACTCGGAAGAACGGCACTGCGCGGGCGGGGAAGAAAATGCTTCGAATTAGGGGTCTATCGTACGCATGTCCAGTCCCTAGTACCGACAGTTTCGTGTTGAGGGCAACCCCTACCCTCTATAATGGGCTCGTTCAACTTACCTGCACCAGCTGCTCTCGATGCACACCGCCATATTTAGTTAACGAGCTCTGAAAACACAACCGCCCTGCACTTTTCTGCACAAGTGCCGACAGATAGAATGAGTCCAGTGTCTCAAACAAATGCGGTATCCCCTAAATGAGAATTCTGTTCTTAATCATTTACTTCTACTATACAAAATGGTTTGCAAAAGACCGGGACGAAGCCTAGATGTACTTGAAGACCATGTCCTTCTTGTCCGCCGTGGACTGGAGCTCGAGCTTGACGGGGCACTTGAGCACGTAGCTGAGGATCTCCTCGGTGTAGCCCAGGAGGAAGTACATCTTGCGGGGGATGACCGAGCGCTGCACGATGCCGCCCACCATCACCATGTTGTGCCGCCGCTTGATCAGGATCTCCGACACAAACATCCGGTGCCACGTGCCGGTCATGAACTTCCTGATGAACATGTCCTCGATCAGGGTCTCCGACTGCCTCAGGCCGCCCTGCAGGTTGCCTGCAAGCCCAAGAGCCCACACGTCCCTCCACGTGCGAGCGACTGGCGCAAACAAACACCCGATGAAAGTTTTAAAAAATTTACCATTTTCAGAAAATGCCGGCCCGAGCCTCTTCGTTGGAAGCCTCTCGTTGACGCTCGTGAGTTCGTCAACGGGAGAATATATTCGTACCAACAAAATTATGGAACCACTGATTCTGAAAATTGTGCTTCAAAAGACTTTTGCCCATCTAGCGACGAAAATAAATACCCTACGCTAGGCACGTAAAAGGGACACCCAAGACAATTTCGGACATTTTACAATTGAGGCACGTTACGCTCGTGAGAAAGATTGGGAAGCTAGGGCACCCTTTCCAAACATTTCTTGACGAGTATTTATTGTCAAAAGCTGCTTTCGAAGAGCAAGTTACCGAAAGAAACAAAATGTGTGCATCATTCTCTTCTTCGTCACTCCTCGAGCAGTTCTGCAATGATCGTTCGGTCGTAACGGCACTGCGAAGCAATTGTCACGGAAGATTCTTCTTGGAACCGGCGTGCGCTTCCACCCGGCCAAAGCACTTGCCAAAGCAACGGTCACGCAGTTACACAGCCGAAAGAACTGTGTCCGAAATACATTCTTTTTTGTTTTCGTATTTGGGCTGCACTGCAGTTTCCGTTCCCACTCTGTCGATGAACCATAAACCGGGAAAAAATGTTAACCCGCAAAAATAGTCGCCCACCATTTCTGGGAAAAGTGTATTTGTGCCCGAGCTCTGGGCGAGACCTACTTGTGTTCCAGGAGTTCCAGGCCTTCCTGTGGGCGATCTGGTGGGGCGGGTTGGCCATCTCGTACGTCAGGGGCTTGCTGTGGTTCCTGGTGACCCGGTACCGGCCCGCGCGGTTGGCCGCGCTCACGCCCGACGTGTGGATGCCCCGCACCTCCCACCGCAGGACCTGGGTGGAGGGAGGCATGCGTGTAACCGCCCGGCGACACACACGCCCCGACCAAATCTGTGACCGGAGCTCATTTCTTTCCGCTTTCGAGACGTGGGCAAAGAGGACGCCAGACGTACTGATTGGATGGGCATTACGAGTGCTCGCTCAAAACCGTATTTGAATGTATCGCGAATTTTTTGAGTACATTTTATTTATTGCCCACCAAGAAAGGCAACTTGGGTCGCTCGGAATGCAAGGTACGGAAACACTGCGGAAGCTCAGCGTTCTCAGCAACGATTGGCAGAGAATGGAACAGCTCTGGTCACCGGGAACGTTGCCATTTGGATACAATGTTTCATCCCAACATGGAAACACTACCTGGCAAGAAAAGGCCCAAAAGCTCCCCAGTCATGGTCATCGGGGATGTCAGCCTTTCAGCATGAACAAAGCATGTACTTGAACAAGGACCAAAGTTTGCACTTCCACCAAAACTGCGAGTGGTTGACAAGTTCACGTTGGTTAGGGACATTGCATTTAAGGCCCCGAATGAAACTTAAAAAATCAATGAAGGAATAGACTGCCTTGCAAGCCTACGGAGCAAAGCACACGCAAAGATGAGTTTTTCTTCAACACACAGAGAATTGCGTACCAAAGACGTAAAGCTTTGCATCTCGGACAAAGAAGGAGGGTTTGTGACTCTCGATTTCGGGAAGTATGAAAACAAAGCCAACCAAGCCATGGATAAGAATTTTATTCCAGTTGATGAAAAAAGAACCAAATTTACTAAAAGAACCATGCTCCTGAAAATAGCGGACAAGAATCTTCTTGCCAGTCTTCCCAGAAAAACCAAACAAACAAAAAAGAGCCAACTGTCTTGTCTTTTTTTCAGCAAAAATGCACAAAGGTGTTCCGTTTCGCGCCATAGTTTCGGAAAGAAACACCTTGCAAGCCCTTGTGTTGACCTTTTTAGCTAACCATCTGTCCAGTGTTCAGGTACAAGATCCATTCAAGATTTATAACTTGGAAAGTGTAATCGCTTTACTTCGAGAGAAAGGATGTGACATTGCCTCAGGGTTTTCCATCGACATACAGGACATCTATTATTCCATCCCACATACAAATCTCCTAAAGCGTCTACCTGAAGGCGACGGCAGCGACACATCAAAACCAACAGTATGTACAAAAAGTGGCATTTGCATAGGATCTGTACCTCGCAGCGTGTGGACTTGCCATCCAACAACATTTTGGAGATCCCAGAGTTGAGGCCCTCTTCAGGTATGCAGGCGATTTTCTAATATTGTCCAACACTGAGGTAAGTGATCCAATCAACAGGTGCAAAGAAGTCGTCATGCAATGTTTCGAACAAAGCTGCTCGAATCTTGCCTTCGCTCATGAACTCCCTGCGAACAAATGCATTAAATTCCTGGATCTATCCTTAAAATTCACACCAGGACACGTGTGCTGAAGATATTGGGCAAGGTCTTGTAAAGGATTCCTTTCTTTTGGGTCCGAACATTCAAAGAATGTCAAACGAGGAGTTGCCACCACAGTGCTCACTTCCGCCCTTAAAATGTTAGGTCAATCATTAGGTGGGCAAAGTTTCGCGACGCAAATCTCCAGGCTCCAGGATGATGGTTACCCTAGAACACTCCTGGTATCGATATGCGAAAACATCTGCAAGAACACCTTTTCTGGTCACGCCCTATAACCACGGGTTCACTCAAGGATTGGAAAAAATGCTGGCCGGCAGGACGTTCACGCAGTACGCTCTGCGCCCAACAAGGCCTATTCCATGTGCCATGGAGAAACATGGAGATCAACGAGCAAAAAACAAACTGCAAGGTGTCTCACAAGACCAAGTACACCAAATGTGAGAAGGAGGTTATATACCAAATCCTACTATGTGGTCAATGTTACATTGGACAGACCGGAAGGTGCATCAACAATGAACATGCAGCTTGAGTGAAGGCCATCGCAGCAGCGGGGCACCTACCCACCCATTGTCGTATGTGCCAGTGCGTGCCCGAGTTTTCTAGCCTCAACATCCCGGCAAGAAACCGCAACAAGCTCGCTCGAGAAATCCTGGAGGCCCTTGCTATTGACGCAAAGGCGGACAATTGTGCGAGTGCACCTTCCATCGCGCTGTACCACAAGGATGCTGTCTATGTTAGAGAGGCCACACCCATGGCGGACAAATGAAAGACGAGGATGATGCTCGGTTATAAGGGTAGAAGAGGAAGAAGTTCTTCAATAAAATTAAAGGTAATGTAGATAAAGGAAAGGAGGCAGTGAAACTACATAGATGAAGAAAAAGACAATCATATTAAACAGTTGGTATCCCAGCAGTGCGTATGCCTTTTTTATCCCTCTCTAATCGTTCTGTTCAGCTGGCACTATATATAACGATGCCATTGCGCTTTTCCTACTTGAACAGCGCCAACAGACAAGCACGCAATGAACCTTCAGACGTGCCGTACGGTGCAACAAATGTTTCGTTGTACTGCATGTGACGCAGAATGCATGAAGGCTGAAACGTGTGGAAAACCAACCGAACATGCAGAAATAGTTTCACGCGAGTTTCGAAGTACGAACGGATATATTGCGCGCAAATCGCAAATATATAATACCCACGCGTGGTTTATCGAAACGGAGTGTCTAGAGTCAGGCACGTAGCCAGGATTTTTTTTTTGCGGGGGGGAGGGGGCCGCCTATGACAGAATACTGTATGAGGGGGAGGGGGGAGAGGAGGTCCCTGCAAAATGGAAGATTTGGGGGGGGGGAGGGGCCGGCCCCCCTCCCCCTCTTGACTACGTGCCTGTCTAGAGTTCCGTCCAGTCAGGACAGTAGCAGCACACGCAAAAAAATTCCGTCCAGACGGAACGACAGCAAGCCTCGAAGTGCCCCGTTTGTTCCGTCCCGAGGGCCCCGTAGAGAGTATTGCTCCTTTTCGTGTCCAAGCTATAGGAACAATAACAAGCTCTCAGTCAATTTTTTGGAATGCCAGGGGTGTTTTTTCTTGGGATTATTTACGAGGTGGAGCCACAATACCAGGCTCTTATAACGCAAACCTAATTACAAAATTATGCACTGCGATCAAGGAGAAACGTTGCGGGAAGTGGAGACAGGGAGTGCTCCTTCATTATGACAATGCCAGTGATGTGATTGGCCTAAGCTGTTTTGGAGCACCTTTTGGAGCAGCCAAAACAGTGTTTTGGAGCAGCAAATGTGGCCTTTGGAGCAGATATCCTTACAAAAAAATATATATATGGGTGATTTCATCTCAAATCGGGCAGGCTAAAAGTGTCTAATTTTTCATTTTCACGAAAAAAATATATGTTTTTGGGGTATTTCTCAAATGAAGGAGGGCGCAAACCGCACGTTCTCCCGATTTTTTGTTCTCGAGTTACGAGCCGTAGAAGCCGCAGTGGCAGAAACTAGTGTTTTTGCCTGCCGTCGCAGGTCGCGTGTTTGACACCCTCTGCTGACGCTATTGTTTTCTCTACACCCTTTTAAATTTTCTCCCTAATTTAATAGGTATTATAAAGATACCTTGATGTATTCAAATATTTTTAGAAATTTGATTGTTTTCTAAAACACATGTCAAACTCGTCACTCCGGTCGCTTTTCGGTCAAATTTGACAGGTCATTACTTTGTACTTAAAGTAAATTTTCTTTCTTTGGCTCTACAGAAAGCCCAAAGCAAGCCCATTATAGATATAATAATATCATTATGATCTGTCGACTAGCCGCTCCGCTACCTTCACGTAAACGTTGTAAGAAATAACAAATGTTGAAAGTTTGAGGTCGATTTTCTCAAAAACCCCATTTTTGTAAATTTTTATTTTTTAAATTCTTTTAGACATATTAGTCGAATACAAGAAATACAGTTTAGAAATGTAATATTTTGGTTGTATGTCCTCTGTTTGAGCCGTAATCGCGTGAAATGTGTGAACATTTGTTATATTTCACAACGTTTACGGGAAGTTAGCGGAGCGGCTACTCGGCAGATAATAATATTATTATATCTATAATGGGCTTGCCTTGGGCTTTCTGTAGAGCCAAATAAAGAAAATTTACCTTAAGTACAGACAAAGTATTGACCTGTCAAATTTGACCGAAAAGCGACCGGAGTGACGAGTTTGACATGTTTTTTAGAAAACAATCAAATTCCTAAAACTATTTGAATACATCAAGGTATCTTTATAATACCTGTTAAATGAGGAGGAAAAGTTAAAAGGGTGTAGAGAAAACAATAGCGCCAGCAGAGGGTGTCAAACACGCGACCTGCGACGGCAGGCAAAAACATTCGTTTCTGCCACTGCGGCTTCTACGCTTCGTAACTCGAGAACAAAACAATTGAGGAACTTGCGGTTTGCGCTCTCATTCATTTGAGAAATGCCCCTAAAACATATATTTTTTTCGTGAAAATTAAAAGCTGGACCCTTTCAGCCTGCCCGATATGGGAAATTTCATCTCAAATCGGGCAGAATAAAAAAGTATGAATATTAATTTTCACGAAAAAAATATATGTTTTGGGGGCATTTATCAAATAAATGTGGGCGCAAACCGCATGTTCTCCAGATTTCTTGTTCTTCAGTTACGAAGCGTAGAAGCCGCAGTGGCAGAAACTAGAGTTTTCGCCTGCCGTCGGAGGTCGCGTGTTTGACACCCTCTGCTGGCGCCATTGTTTTCTTTACACCTTTTTAACTTTCCCCCCTCATTTAATATGTATTATAAAGATACCTTGATCTATTCAAAAAGTTTTAGAAATTTGATTGTTTTCTAAAAAACATGTCAAACTCGTCACTCCGGTCGCTTTTCGGTCAAATTTGACAGGTCAATACTTTGTCTGTACTTAAGGTAAATTTTCTTTATTTGGCTCTACAGAAAGCCCAAAGCAAGCCCATTATAGATATAAAAATATCATTATTATCTGCCAAGTAGCCGCTCCGCTACTTTCACGTAAACGTTGTGAAAAATAACAAATGTTCACACATTTCACGCGATTGCGGCTCAGA